GTCGGTGGTGCATGGTGGTAGGTGATAATGGTGGGCGGTGGCGGCGGTTAGTAGTGAATAAGGATAATAGCATCTTAATGAAATTAAGTTTTTGTTATAAATCTTAATTATTTGGAGCTATTCATACCTATTAAGTGGTTGTGAAATAAAAAAATACGCACTTAATGATTAAGATCTGTATAATTAAGATTCAGACTTAAAAAACAACAACTACAATAACAACCCAGTAAAATCCCACAGGTGCAGGGTCTGGGGAGGGTAGTGTGTACGCTGACCTTACCCCTACCCGATGGAGTAGAAAGACTGTTTCCGCTAGACCCTCGGCTCAAAAAAACGAAAAAGAGGAAAAGAGTCAATATATCAGTACCGTTAATAGATAGAAATAATAACAGCATCATAAGAACCAGAAAATAGATGAAACGCAATAACAATAACCAGTAAAAGAAGGCCTGGTGCTATGAAAAATGGAAGAATAGTGTGACCACAACATTAACCGCTGGTAGTCTAAGACAAACCCTATCAGACTAGCCTCACACACGGTACGAAGTAGAAAAATGCTCAACTACCTCCTAACCTACAACCCTAATACTCGACCTCCACATCTTCCTATCAAGGGCCATGTCCTTGAAAATCTGAAGCCACGTTATGTCTTGCCTGATCACCTCTCCCCAATACTTCTTAGACTGTCCTCTATTTTTTCTCGTGCCCGCGAAAGCCAACCGCTCACACCTTCTTACCGGGGCATTAGGGCTTCTCCTCCGCACATGCCCGAACCATCTGAGCCTCGCTTCCCGCATCTTGTCTTCTATAGGAGCCACGCCCATCTTCTCCCGAATATCTTCATTCCTAATCTTATCCATCCTAGTATGCCCGCACATCCACCTCAACATTCTCATTTCTGCTACTTTCATCTTCATTATATGTGAGTTCTTTACCGGCCAACACTCTACCCCATATAACATAGCCGGTCTAACCACCGCTTTATAAAACTTACCTTTGAGTATCGATGGCACTTTCTTGTCACACAGGACTCCCGATGCTAACCTCTATTTCATCCATCCCACCCCTATACGGTGTGTGACGTCCTCGTCGATCTCCCCGTCCTGCTGGATAACCGACCCAAGGTACTTGAAACTGCCTCTCTTGGGGATGACCTGTGATCCAAGCCTCACGTCCTTGCCCGCATCCCTCGACTCGACGCTGAACCTGCACTCCAGGTATTCTGTCTTATAGCCTGTTTGGCCAAGCTTTTTTTGGGCCAAAAGTGCTTTTTTCGGCCAAAAAATTAAGGTGTTTGGCCAAGCTTTTAGATGGAAAAAAGTGCTTTTGAGGAGAAGCAGAAGCAGTTTTTTGAGAAGCAGAAAAAAGTAGCTTCCAAAAGCACTTTTCTGAGAAGCACTTTTGAGAAAAATACACTTAAAAGCAGTTTTCAAAAGCTTGGCCAAACACTAATTACTGTTCAAAAGTGTTTTTCAAATTAATTAGCCAAGCACAAACTGCTTCTCACCAAAAGCATTTTTTTGAAAAGTACTTTTGAGAAAAACACTTTTCAAAATAAGCTTATTTTAGAAGCTTGGCCAAACAGGCTATTAGTCCTGCTCAACTTGAAACCCTTAGACTCAAAGGCCTGTCTCCAAACCTCCAGCCTCTCGTTAACACCGCCTCGCGTCTCATCAATCATCAGACTTAAAAAACAAATGCATTTAATATTTGAGATCTGAATAATTAATATTCAGACAGCATTAAGTGCAGACAAATAAGGCCTTAATTACGTTTCTTGAATATTTGCAAATTCAAATGGGCCCAGTTTCTCAAATGAGTGCTGATGCATCATATTCTCTAGAATGATCCTTGCTTACTTACAGGGTATCTTAGAATTAAGATGAACTTCAATAGAGGACCATTTGCCAATAGCCATTTTAAGTTTTATTTACACTGACCTTTTTTCCTGTTGGTTTTTGAAGATTTATGCCATGGTGAAGGGAAAGCTTATTTTAATTTGCCAGTCTGGTGGTGAATTTGTGAGTGATGCCGGTGGAACCTTGTCATATAATGGAGGAGAGGCAAATGCTGTAAATATCAACGAAGATACTCCATTTGATCATCTGAAGATAAAATTGGCAGAGATGTGCAATCTGGAGCTTAAAACAGTGTCAATTAAATACTTTCTTCCAGGAAATAGGAAAACTCTTATTAATTTAAGGAGCGAAAGGGACTTCAAAAGAATGGTTGAGTTTCATGCTAATTCTGTTACAGCTGAGATTTTTGTCAGTGGGAAGGAAGGTTTTGATCACGAAGCATTGAACACATACACTGACAGGTATTAGCACAATTATTTTAAGTACTTATAAACTTTCATTACCTTATTGACATGATTTAGTGAAACGAGCCCGTTGCCAGCCAATGTCTATTATGGCTAAAGCAAATTGGTTAATCACTTGCATGTCGCTGGTAGTATATATGTAATTGACATTCTGCTTGTATCTCAATTAACAACACTTCCAGGACAATTGGGTTAAAACTGGCTGAGAACGTAAATCATCATGGCACGCCTGCAGCAGCAGCTGATTCTGGTGGTTTGAGTACAACACCTTCAAAAGCTACCCCGTTAGGGACTGTTCATACTGATGCTGCCTCTCCTCTAGTTATTCAAAGTGATTGTCTGGTCGATGTACATATCAGCTGCCAGGAACCAGCTATTAATGCAACAGCTGATAGCTCCAGTCAAGCCACTACTTCGTCAAACCCTTCTTCTGGCCATGTTGCTGAGGATGATTCTGACTATGCTCCACGCTCACGTGCTGCTGTTGGTACTACTGCTCAGAGCCCAATCAGCTTTGACTATGATAGTACCCCTGCTGATACTGTAAAGAAGCGCAGGCGCACTGCTTCATGGACAATTGGTGCCAACGGTCCAACCATTGTCGTGACCGGTAATGATTCTAAGGAGAAATTCTCACGGAAGAAAAAGAGTCGAAATTCAACTGGTGTGATGGACAGTAATGACACGGTGGAGGATGAAGATTGTGTTCAATTACCTGATGATTCTGACAGCTCCTCTGCAGTTGCTCTTCGTGATGAAGATCTGCCAGAGAAACTAGTTGCCACTTGGAAAGAAGGTATTACTGGTGTCGGTCAGGATTTTAGGAGTGTGAAAGAGTTCCGGGCTGCACTGCAAAAGTATGCTGTTGCTCATCGCTTTGTCTACAAGTTGAAGAAAAATGATGCTTCCCGTGTAAGTGGCAGATGTACCGTAGAGGGTTGCTCTTGGAGAATTCATGCATCTAGGGTCCCTGCTGCTCAAACATTTAGGATCAGAAAGTTTAATTATTTGCATACATGTGGAGGCGAATCGTGGAAGTCTGGTCATCGTACAAGGAATTGGTTGGTAAGTATCATTAAGGAAAGGTTACGTGATTCTCCAAATGACAAACCCAGGGAAATCGCTAAAGGCATTTTGCGTGACTTTGGGATTAAATTGAGATATAGACAAGTACGGCGAGGGATGGAAGATGCCAAGGAGCAACTTCAAGGTTTGTACAGAAAGTCATATAACAGGTTGCCTTGGTTCTGTGAGAAGGTAGTAAATACTAATCCTGGTACTGTTGCTAAGCTTATGATAAACGATGAAAAAATACTACAGCGCTTCTTTTTCTCACTTCATGCCTCAATACATGGTTTCAAGCGCGGTTGCCGACCTCTGATTTTCCTTGAAGCTACATCTCTAAGATCAAGGTACAAGGAGACTCTGTTGACAGCAACTGCGGTTGATGCAGATGATGGTTTCTTTCCAGTTGCTTTTGCAGTAATAGATATTGAAAATGATGATAGTTGGCGTTGGTTTTTGGAGCAACTAAAATCTGCATTATCAACTTCTCAATCTATAACTTTTATCTCAGATCGAGAGAAGAATTTAAAGAACTCTGTGCTTGAGGTGTTTGAGAATGCTTGTCATGGCTATTCCATTTTTCATCTTCTGGAAAGCTTTAAGAGAAATCTAAAGGGTCCATTCAATGGTGATGGGAGAAATGTTTTACCTGAAATTTTCCTTGCCGTTGCTCATGCAGTCCGACTTGGTGGTTTTAAAAATTCGACTGAGAAAATTAAACAGATTAGTTCCCACGCATACGATTGGGTGATCCAGATTGAGCCAGAGTGTTGGACAAGTTTGTTATTTAAGGGTCAGCACTATAATTATGTAACAGAGGATGTTGCAGAACCATACTCCAAGTTGAGTGAGGATTCTCGTGGATCAACAATAATGCAAAAGATTGAAGCCTTAATATGTATGCTCGGTGATCTAATAGATCGTCGTAAATTGGAGCCAAGTAATTGGTCCACTAAACTTACTCCGTCAAAAGAGAGAAAGATACAGGAAGAAGCTGTTAAAGCTCATGGTCTAAAAGTTCTATTCTCATCTGATGTCCTATTTGAAGTTCATGATGAGATGACTCATGTTGTGAATATTGAAAACCGTGAGTGCACATGCCTGGAGTGGAAACAAAGTGGGCTGCCTTGCTGCCATGCGGTTGCTGTGTTCAAATCCATTGGTAAATGTGTGTATGATTACTGCTCAAGCTACTTTACAGTTGAAAGTTACCGTTCTACATATTCTGTGTCTGTAAACCCGATACCTGTGATTGGAACACCAGTTGAAGAAGATGGTGAGTCAGATACTGCGGATGTGTTACCCCCTTGCCCTTCAGAATCGCAGATTGAGGAAAAACCAGAGGATACCAAAACTGTAGACCCGGATAAGAGGACAGTAAGTTGCAGCAGGTGCAAGGAACCAGGACATAATAAAGCTTCATGCAAGGCCACTTTATAGGTCCTTGCTTCCTCCTTGTTTGCATCTTGTACATCTCTTACAATTACATGGTAATGACTTGTGATGTATTGCTCTTCTTTGTAATTTGTTGCGCTCTGCGTTTCTACTTCACAGAAGACAGTCATTATTTCCATTGGCAAAAGCTGGTATATTTCATCATCTATGGGTAATTTCTTCCTCATTGTGTTTGTACTATCAGTACCTTTTGGAAATCCATAAGTTCTGAGTTTTGAACTCGAAAAGCAAGGTGTAAGACGATGGTAATATTCTTGGCCTCAAAAGGGTATAAAGCTGTTCCCGTAGCTTGTCTGTTGCAGAAATGATTTTCTATATACAGACTATGAATTTTCGAATCGTCTTGTTACATGATATGTGATGGTAAATTCTCAGTTTACTCGACGTGAGTGAATAATGATGGTTTCTCGGATTGAACGGACGATTTCTTGGTACTGTTTTGCACTGTTAGAACAATTCAGAACGAGACACAAGCATCTCATTCTTAATATGCTGAAGTCGACAACAAAAGACAAAGGTTGATTTACAGTGGAATGCAGAGTGCCTTATCAATATATGAAAAAGATGTGAGTTGAAAGATATGCAAATGAACGTTATTTGGTGGATTTAATATGCTGATCTTAGGGAAGAGTAGAAACAAACATACTGGATAATGAATCTGCTAATGTTGGCAGTAGTTAATTTCGTCGGAAAATCTTACCACAAGTGCACTCTATCCTTACCTTCCAAAGTTGGCATAAGTTAATTTCAACGGGAATATTAAGAAAGTAAATTTTCAGGCTACTTCTTCCAATAACAGAAGATGAACATGTTAACATCGTTCAAATCAAAACTCAAACTCAACTCAACTCAACTCAGTTCAATTGTGCCCTAATTCTTCATTAATAGGAATCAAGTATATGAATTTTCTATAATCATTATATTTTATTTATTTAAAATTTTAAATCATAATTAGACTATTTTAAATCAACACTCGAGTCAAATTGTCATTTGGGAGTTGGGACGTGGAGAGAGCAATAGCTGTTGTTACCAACCAACCCAAAGTAAGTTTGCCTTCTTTACCTACCCACCCCACCTACTTCCCCCCCATCCCTTCTCCTTCACTTCTCTCTACACAATAACTAAGTCCAAATTCCTCCTCTGCTCATTGCATTGATCGCGTCACAAAAGGGATAGATTGGTTTATACATTTCTCCATTGTTTCAGTACAAGTGAGAAGATTCAAAGAAAATGTCCCTTACTGATTCAGTGCAGCACAAACAGCCTGGTGTCATCACCTGCAAAGGTTGGTATCCACTTTGAATACCCTTCATTTGCTTTTTACTTTTTTTTATTTATTTTCCCTTCTTACCAAGAATCTTGATTATTTAATTTTCAGCTGCTGTGGCATGGGGACCAGGAGAAGCAATGGTAATAGAGGAGGTGGAATTGAGTCCACCTCAGCCTATGGAGATTCGTGTTAAGGTTGTCTCTACTTCTCTCTGTCGCAGTGATGTCACTGCTTGGTTGTCACAGGTTTGATCTCTACTTCATCCCTTTTTCTTTTTGGGTTGAAAATTTTTCCCAACAGGACAACCATATCTTTTATGTCAAGCTACTAAATCTAAGTCAATTCTGGTACTAGGAAGACAAATGCTGGAATGGAACTGTGCTAAGCTGCTGTTTCAGTTACATGAATTATTCCTACTAAATGTTTGAAATTTGTTCATCATAATAAATCATTTCTACAAATATGGCATTGAATTATTAGGTGCTCAATCTTGGACCGACTGGAGATGGACTGCCTTTGTTAGAGATACAGTAGAGGTGCTTAGCATAAGAACTAGCAAGTTATACTGTATAAGATTGCGCTTTTATGAGTTTATCTGACAAAAGCGCTTCGCACTCATCCCAATCTCATTTTGTTTCCCAAAGAAAACTAGCTAAATCCAATCTTATTTTGTGTTCTCAAAGGTAAAATCTGAACTTATGTAGGGAAGGGGGGATGCGGGCACATTATACAGTAGAAAAGACTCAATCTTGGGCCCTCTTTATTCGTTCATCTTGTCTTTCTTTATCATTTTGGCAAATCTGGTTCTTGTTTTATTTTTCTTTTCATATGAATCTACCAGAATTATTTTCTTATCCTTCAAATATTTCGCACCCAATGATGAAGTTTTTGTTATTTTCAGGCTCAGGCTTCTATTTATCCTAGGATATTTGGTCATGAAGCATCAGGGTTAGTTCTATATCTCGTCCAGCTTCTACTTGAATGATAATGCTTTTAGTCAGTAGTTTAAACATGTATCTTGCTGCTGATAGGAAGTCGTCAAAATACTAACTCAAAATTTTCTTATATAATCCATAGCCTTGAAACATGTCTTGGCGTGATAATGCTTCTCCCCAAGGGGCTAATGGTCATGTTGTAGGGAAGGGCCAATGTTATTTTGAGTTGGATTTCTCAAATTTCCGAATTTGTCAAGCATGTATAATGGTTTCATCACCCACTTGATGCGTAATGGTTTCATCACCAAAATACTCTTAGTTGACTTACTCATCAGGTGCTCTGTCTATAAAGAAAAGCATTCCGTCACAGACCGTGGCATCATCAAGAGCCACAATTGCAATGCAATAGAAGTGGTTGATGGATTCAATATTCTCTCATTTCTGAACATAGAATCAAGCTTTAATATTTTTGCAGGATTGTTGAGAGTGTTGGGCAAGGAGTGACTGAATTTGTAGAAGGAGACCATGTGCTAACCTTATTTACTGGGGAATGCATGAGATGCAGACATTGTACCTCAGGCAAAAGCAACATTTGCCAAGTTCTTGGATTGGAACGAAAAGGTGTTATGCACAGTGATCAGAAGACGCGGTTCTCTATAAAAGGGAAGCCGGTTTATCATTATTGTGCAGTTTCAAGTTTTAGTGAATATACGGTTGTACACTCTGGTTGTGCGGTCAAGGTTAGTTCAAATGCGCCTTTGGAGAAAATCTGCCTCCTCAGTTGTGGAGCGGCAGCAGGTAACTTATGGAGTACTGTTCAATTAAATCACAGCTGATTTTTTACTTCTTTACTACTATTGAAATTTGTTATATCGTTTGAAATGTTTTTTCCAAATAGTTAAATCCTCCTTCAGTTCTTAGATGTTACTTTAATTCTTAGCCTATTTATCTCTGTATAGCTTCACAACTAGCCATAAGTTAAGTTGTTATTCTGAACATTTCAAATGAAGCATTGTGCAGCCTCACAATTGAAATGAAATAATCAGGTCTAGGTGCTGCTTGGAAGGTTGCAAATATCTCTGAAGGATCAAAAGTGGTCATTTTTGGTCTTGGGACTGTAGGCCTTTCTGTGAGTACATTGATCCAAGCTTAACAGCTAACATAATATAGGCTAAATGTTTTCCTGGAGAACTTGACAATGATAAATAATAAGATGCTTACATATTGAGCTAATAGGTTGCACAAGGTGCTAAAATGAGGGGAGCATCTCAAATTATTGGTGTAGACACAATGCAAGAGAAATACGAAAAAGGTATCACGTCAGACTTCTTGTAAAAAGTTGAAAACCTGAAAAGTTTTCCTAAACTTATGATGAAAAGTTTCCCTGGTTTATTGATGTTCTGCCCTTCTGGTGCAGCAAAGGCTTTTGGAGTGACCGATTTTTTGAACCCAAATGATACTGATGAACCCATCCCACAGGTGTTTTACTTTTCACGATATATATACAACAAAAGCTTGTAAATTAGTTTCATTCTTTCTCCCAGCTAATTGGTCATGAGTCTTGCTAATCATGTTTGCTGTCTAAAACAACACAGAAGCGTTACAACAACTATGTCTCAATCTCGAGCTAGTTGGACCGTCTATATAAATTCTCACTTTCATTTTGCTCTATTTGGACCTGTTTCACTCCAATACGCAATAATTTGGGGATTATCTAATAGAGGTTTTCTTAAATTTTCTAATTTCTAATACATACAAATCTCGAAACAGATAAAAAGTCTTTTAGCAAATACTAGACCTAATGCTTTACCAGTATGACTAAGCACTAACACCTATGGTTCTTTTGCTTCTATTATGTTATGTGTTTCATGACTGCTGCTGCATAGATTTTGCGTGATTGTTGGTCTATAAAGACAGCTTCCTTCTATGTGGCTTTAGGTCTACTTGCCTCCTTTCTCGGGGGAGGATGGGGCTTGGAGGTACCGGGAGCTTGGAGGTACCGGGTTCATCTGAATCCAGTACTTTTGGTGTGGAGCATAAATTTATGTATAAAAATTCACTATAATTGCAATATGTAATAGATATGAACCCATAACCTTAAAAATATAATGGGTTCGACGCTAGAAACCTAAATGTTGAACCCATAGAGCTTAAATCCTGAATCGACCTCTGCCCTCTCTAACTCTTGGTATCATACCTACAAACTGGTACATTTGAGGTCTCCTCTACTTGTGCTACTTGCATATTCCATAATTTTCTTTTATCTTGTCAATCTTGTGTGAACACATATCTATACGAACATACGCTTTGTACGATACTCATATTATGGAGGGTTGGGAATTAGAGACCCAACATTCAATCCCATATAATATCGATGGTCTTAAATATGGCCAACAGAATTTGCCGCACTTTGGTAAGTATCTTCCTATTGCATAACATTTCTGTAGTGCTCCTCAATTCCAACATTCTATTTTAATTTTTTATATATTCGCCTATCGACCATTCACCTAGACCATTGAGCTTATATTTGAATTGTCTTAATTTATGCACTGCTATCCCGTCTAACTTTACTTGGTTCGTCTTATGCCGGCTTAATTCGCGTGTATATATCATTTCTTATCTTTACTTATCCTAAAACCCTTACTATTGTGGAATGTTTATTCAAAGTTCAAACTTTTGTTTAACGTCTTGTATAGCGTCGTCAGTAAACCAATATCGTCAGCAAATAGCATACAGAATGGACCAGTTCTGTTCATGCTCAGGCTATGCTTTCCTTTCGTAAACTCTGAGTACTTTTTAATTTCAGGTTATAAAACGCATAACTGATGGAGGTGCAGACTATTCATTTGAGTGTATAGGAGATACAGGAATGATTACCACTGCATTGCAATCATGTTGTGATGTAAGTATAGAGACCCCATTTCAGTACTCTCCTGTATTCTCTGAGATTTGTTTCTCTTTCTTATACCCCCAATTTTCTGTCTTCTCCTATTTGTGTTAGGGATGGGGTTTGACCGTCACACTTGGAGTACCCAAGCTGAAGCCAGAGGTAACAGCTCATTATGGACTTCTTCTTACCGGTAGAACATTGACAGGATCTCTATTTGGAGGATGGAAACCGAAGTCTGAAATTCCTTCATTAGTTGAGATGTACCTAAGGAAGGTAAACTGTTACACTGTTTTTTCAACTTGATGAAACCTTGGGACGTCGTGTTTATTTACTCCAAAAGGACTTTCAACATTGGAATATTAAGCCATTGTGAGGTTTTGCTTGCAGGAAATTGAGATAGATGACTTGATCACACATAACCTGCCATTTGAGGAGATAAACAAAGCTTTTGATCTGATGAAAAGTGGGACTTGTTTGCGCTGCGTCATACATATGCCAATATAGAAGGTTTTCCAATGGCTGAATGTTTTTCAATGAAATAGATAGCCATCACGATGAACTGCGAGAAAATTTGATGTTGTAATGTAGTATATGATTATCATTGCCTGCCATCGGTTATTTGTTCAGGATGGTGGGTTGAGCTGTGCAGACTATTTTTACAGAAAAAAGTTTGATGTCATATCAAAATGCATTGACTGGCCTCAGAGACAGTTTGCCGTATAGGCAACTACTCAGAAATTTCTAATCATTAGCTGAGTTAGATGCAATTATCCAGTGAAGACCATATAATTTAAAACCTTTTGTTCCTAAATGTGGATTTTGCTATTGATTCTTTTTTCACTATAAGGAAGAACTTGGGTTTTGGAGATGCTTGTGCACTTTTATACCCATTAATTGAATTGAAAGTTGATGCTGCAAGATATAGCCTTTTCCCCGGAGCTTGGAGGCCAAACTAATCTTTTGGCCTTACGTGGAGCAAATTTGGATTCCGAATATACTACAGCAGGATCTTTTGCTGCTTTTGTTGATATTGCTCTCACTCATTATTACGTCACCTTAACAGCTGGGACCCCCTAACCATTTCTATCTATCTTTAGAAATAGGGCTCTAGACCCCTGTGTATTAGACAGCGGGTGGGAAACCAAAAAAAGATCTTCGGCATACCATTCCAATCTCTTATAATGTCCTTGAAGACTGACAGGATACAGGTTGCTAGCACTGCACATTAATTATGAAACTTGTTTGTTACCTATAATATGAATTCATTAGTGTTATGGAAGTCTAGATTGAGACAACCATCGGGGGAATAACTAAAGTGGGGTTCATGTTATGAAATCCATATTATATATGGATGTCCAATAATCAAATATAACTCTCACTACTCTTCCCCATTATGTAGATAATCCCCTGTCATGATCCCAATTTCCCACTTTAGGATGTCGTGATGACACCTAGTCCCTAAGATTAGGTAAGCCTAACACATGCCGATTTAATCATAGAATTGAATTATTTGATCATTTATCATAAACCATTAAGTGACATACATAGTTGCAAGCGACCAATAGTTATACATTTCCCAAAACCGATACTACAGAGTCATAAGCACTACTAAAACACACTAGAATTTCTAAACACAATACTGTTTTGAGTTACAATTTAACAGTAGCATAATAAAATAAGATGGTGACTCCGAGGCCTGCGAATGTCAAGCAGGTATACCTTGAAGTCTCCTGCCGCGCAGACGCAACTCTCAACAACACAATCAGAATACCTGGATTTGCACAAAAATGTGCAGAAGCGTAGCATGAGTACACCACAACGGTACCCAGTAAGTATCTTAACCTCGGTAGAGTAGTGACGAGGCCAGGTCAAGACACTTACTAGGCATAGAAACCTGTTCAAGATATACAAAAGCTAACAATGGAAAGAATATCAATGTAAGACCAACAGCGAAAAAATTATTGATTTACAACCAACAATGAAGTAATAGAAACATAAATGGCAGCAAATAGTAAATGAGTAATAAAGAAACAACATAATCAGAACACCAATGAGATGTAAATGAACTCAAATAAGGAAAAACGGATGACAACTCAAATAATCAAATTGCTCCCAATGCATGGACTTACAACAAGAATTACCCCGAGGCACCACACCTCATAAACCATAAGTCATGGACCACAATTTCCAAATCTTACACATATGGCACCTCGTGCCTACAATAACAATCACCTTCGCACGACAAGGCCCACGTGCTACCATATACTTTGCAACCGTGATAATTATTAATTTAGATGAACGAAAGATATAATTAAACACCATAAAACATAATAACCATCTTGAATAAAGTAATGTGTCAAATGAAATAATGAGTTTATTTTAGAAATCAAGTAAAGTAAAATAATATGCAATTTATACGAAACAGAGTATAAGATGAGTTTAGTTTAGAAATCAATAAAATTGAGTAAAAGTATCATTTTAAAACAAAACAAACATAAGTTAAATTAACGAATTAGATATAGAATTTGTTTAAGGAAAAACATGATAACAATTTTAAGTAAGGTAAACATCTAACAGGGTGATGAGTATAATTTGAGAACCCAATTATAATGAAAGTGCGATAACCATTTAGAATAATAAGGCACCGAGTGAGATAACGAGTTCTATCTTAAGAGGCACATAGAATAAAGCATGTTAATCATTCTTTTATTTAAACCATTATGTTACCAACAACTCAACAGAATATGATATAGTGACTCCACGCAATTAAATTCACATTGACAATCAATTCACCAAGTTATAACGGAGGCACAAATTTGTATGTTAAAGCAACACAACAAATCACGTATAATGCATGACTCATACAAGAAACCACAATCGTTCCAACACCAAGATAACAACGAATAACCAAACACAATCAAAATGTGAATGAATGATTGAAGGAAGAACAATGACCATTCAAATCAACACGTTGTTCTAACATGGAATGTATAATGAAAATCACAACTGAGGTACCACCTCGTATTCACATTTTACAATTTCAATCACAATCTTTCCTTATATCACCGCGTGAACCTTACATTTAGTTTTGAAAATTATTTTTCCCGAAATAGCTACACGCGTTTTAGCCCACCTCATCTCACCGTGCGGCTTCCGGTAGTTCCCCTACTAGCAACACGCGTATCAAGCCACCTTATCTCACCGCATGCGTATCAACCCCTAGTCTTATACCACCGCATGCGTATCAATATCACAACACAATCACAACTCGCATCACAAGTGCCCATATGCCACAACTTGCCACAAAGTCAACAACACCAATATTTTCACAATAAATAGCCCATGGCTCAACCATAATGTGTACAAGAATTTCAACAATAACAAAATAAATGGGAATGCTCAACAAGGAAATGTATCTCAATAATTAACAACTTCGCCTCAATGTGATAATAACTATTACAACTTCAACACCAATAACTCAACAAGATGATATTCTATGAAATAACAACTTCAATTAAAAGTGATTCGACAATTAAGAGGTAACAAGACAATAAGGAAGGCAATAACTTCAACTAAAGCATATAAGAGCAAAAGAACAAGTAAGAGGTAGAACAAGTGCTAACAACGTCAAATAGAGCATGTAAGAGTAGATTAACAATGAGAGATATAATATGTTATGGCAATTCAATTAAAGGCATGAAAAGAGTCTAGATAATCTAAAATGGTCAAATACCACATATAGTCCGTGTACCCACTCGTCACCTTGCTTACACGACTTTAACATAACACAAATAGCAGAGTCAACCCAAATCCTAAGGGGTAGTTTCCCCCGCACAAAGTTAGGCAAGATACTTACCTCAATTAGGCCAACTCAACCCTCCGAAATAGCTTTTCCCCTAAAATTTGCCTCTACACGGCTCAAATGTAACCAAAAATGACTTAATAACATTAAACAATGCAAGAGAAACCAATTACAATAAATAAAACTATGATCTTTATATTTTCCCAAAAAGTCAACAAAAGGGCTCGTCTTGGATTCCGAATCCAAGCTTACCCGAGCGAAGCCCGAACCAATACAAGCTCACACGAATGAAAACCGACTCAATTGGAGTCCGATAGCTCAACCAATTCATCAAAACATCGCTCTTGGGTGTTCATGACCCAAGAGTCCAACCCACACTAGTTGGGTCCCATATCTCCCGAAATACTCCTCCAAAACTCGTTAAATTCGAGTATGTTGTTCTTCTAATATAGGAGAGCAAGACCCCAAAAGGAATCGGAAAATAAACGCCTCTAACTCATTTTTAATTTTTAAAATTTTGGTCATAACCCTAGTTCTTGATTTAAAGAATTAAATAGGTTTTTAATTAAAATCATGAATTAAAACTTAAACCAAGGGAATGAATCAAAGGAAAATACTTAGGTTATGGTTTAGACCTTACCCCATGGAAAAAACTTAAAGAACATCCTTGAATTCTCCCAATCCCAAACTTTCTAGATGAGAAAAACTCCAACAACATTAATAGTTAAAAATGCCCAGTTGTTCTGCCTCGTTTCTTATGCCAAACGATCCTGAAACTCACTTTTGATGACTCCAATGGATTTCTCGTAAATTTCCAGTCAAGTTAGGCATTTGAATCACTCCATTTGACCTTAAAATGAAGGAGATATGTTGGTTTCAATATTTGGAAATAGTGCAGATTTTTAAATACAAATTCAGTGGCAATTTCATAATTAATCTGAAAAATCTGGCAACCCAATACTTAGTTAAACGACCATTCCTCATACGATGTCAAAACTTGATGATTTCAGTTGCAATGGTTCCAAAATTACGATGCGGATATAATGGTTTAGTCGAAACTCGAATCAAAGGCCGTTTGCTCAATACGGTAACCTTTATGCTCAAATCGACGTTGAAGCCGAAAACAATTACCATGCAACCCAAACTTATCCAAAACTCATTGGAATTTAACCAAACTTTGTGGACATGTCCAAAATCTTCATACAAACATATTGGAATAATTAAAATCTGATTCCGAGTCTGTTTATCCAAAATTCAAACCTTGGTCAACTCTTCCAACTTAAAGCTTCTAGAACGAGAATCATTCTTCCAAATCAATCCCGAACCGCTCGAAAATTGAAACCAACCATACACGTAAGTCATAATACATAATATGAAGCTACTCAAAGTCTCAAACCACCGAATGGAACGCTAAAGCTAAAAACGACTGGTCGGGTCGTTACATTCTCCCTCACTTAAACATATGTTTGTCCTTGAACGTGCCAAGAGTCGTTCCAAAGCCATCAAATCGCCATATAACCTTACCATACACATAAGCATGGGTGATCCCACATCACCCCAACCCTATAAGCCCGACAACACCATCTAACAGAGGATCCTTACTTCAACCTTAGTCCATAAACCTTAAAACCCAAATTCCCAACATCCGAAACTCATTATATGACCCGATTCTTCCATCTATGCATCGTATAACTCTGAAAAAGTTGTATCAATCCATAACCATATATCAAGAGATAATCACATGATATGCCACATAACTCAAATACTCATAGCAATAACTGCTCGATAACCAACCTGACACTGGTAACAAACCTTATATCAACTAAAACCTTGTTCTGAAACTTCGTACACTGCCAATGATGAAAGAAACATACAGAAACTCATAACCACCCATCAGATTAACAAGTCGTGGAGCTTTTGTCACGACCCAAAATCCAACTAGTCTTGATGACACCTAACCCAACCCGCTAGGTAAGCCAATTAACAACAATCTAATTCAATGAGATTTACTGAGAAAATAAATG